CCGTTAGAAACAATGCATAGTCATCCAATTCCCAATCCTGCAAACCCCTCTGAAAAGTGATATTCCAACTGTAACTCCCATTGTGGAGGGCTAAAACGTCATTCACCATAGCAGAATGTATCATAGTAATGCGATGCAAAGAAGGAAACCCCAACTTTAGCGGTATATTCCCACACCAACAATCATCCAAAAATCTAATATTATTACCATTTCCCACTACAAAAGTCAAGCTATTCCGAAAGTCATTCCATCCTCGTCGAATATACCTCCATAGACTCACCCTGTAAGACCCACGAGCCTCACCCGAAGTCCATCCTCCCTCCATCACTCCATACTTCGCCCCAATGATTTCTCTCCATAAACTGTCCCTCTTCATACCAAACTGCCAAATCCATTTGCCTAATAATGCCTTCCTCAATTCGAGACCCCTATCCTCATAGGAGAGCAGACAACTCCCCATTTAACCAAATGGAGTTTCCTCTCCTCTCCCAGCCTTGCCCAAAGAAATTCCCTTTGAATCATCTCTAGTCTGTTAGCCACTGCAGCCGGAATAGAAAACAGTGACATAAAATAAGTAGGGATATTTGATAGAATAGATTTAACGAGAGTAAGACGGCCACCCTTCGAGAGATATATACGCTTTCACCCCGCTAACCTCCTTTCCACCTCTAAATCAATAGCATTCCAAATATTGATACTTTTAAACCGCGCCCCTAAAGGGAGTCCGAGATATGACATGGGTAACTGCGCAACCCTACAACCCAATATAATAGCTAGTTCCTCCACATTAGTGACCTCCCCTACTAGAATAACCTCAGATTTTCCCAAATTAACCTTCAATCATGACACCGCTTCAAAGCATAAAAGCAACCTGTGTAAATTCCTAACTTGTTCTTCAACTGCGTCACAAAAAAATCAGTGTGTCATCTGCAAATAACAAGTGGGACACCTACAGTTGACCAACCGTAAATCCCGTAAGTAGTTTCTCCTAGGAATACTAGGATACCTGTCACTGTTTTCATTGGTTTTATCACATTGTTCTTGACTTTGATCTTCAGGAATAACAGTGGAATGAGAATTATGAGGTGAAGTATTCAAAATCATATTTGGTGAAGGAGTAGGAGATAAATCCCAAAAATTTTCTTCAATTACCTCATTCTCCTCCTGAAGAGAATTTTTGTTGAAGTAGGATTTTTTTTCAAAGAGAAAGAGACATCCATGGTCACATAAATTTTTCTTGTTTGGGGATTATAGCACTTATATCCCTTTTTTATTATAAGCATACCCTATAAAAACACATTTTTAAGCTCGAGGATTAAGTTTGGAACAAATATTATAGGGTATATAAACAAAAACTATGCAGCCAAAAACCTTTAAAGGTAAATCTGATTGTATCCTAGATAAAGGAATTTTTTTTTTTTTGGGTACACATTCTAATGGCGTGCTATATTTTAAAGCATGTGTGGGCATTTTGTTAATCAAATAAGTGACTGTTAAAACAGCATCCCTCCAAAGATAAGTTGGAACATTCATTCAAAATATTATGGCCCGAGATACTTCAAGTAAATGCCTATTTTTTTTTTCAACAATTCCGTTTTGTTGAGGGGTATCCACGCAAGTAGACTGATGATCAGTACCATTTTCCTTCAAAAAACTTCCCAAAATTTTATTAAAATATTTTGTTCCATTATTTGAGTGAAGAATGCTAATTTTTGTTGAACTTCAACCATCGTGTAAAATTCTTTGAAAATTTTTTAAACCTCGGACTTTTCATTCATTAAATAAACCCTACACAAACGTGTATGATCATTTATAAAGGTAACAAACTATTTTTTTCTAGAGAGAGTAGTAACCCTTGAGGGTCCCCCAAACACCACTATGTATTAAATAAAATGGTTTTGAAGAAGTATAAGGTTTTGGTAGATAAGTAGTACGATGACTCTTAGATAAGCAACAACTTTCACAATAGAAAGTTAAACAATCCAAACCGTTACATAAAGTAGGAAACAAATGTTTAAGATATGGAAAGCTAGGATGTCCTAGTTTAAAGTGCCAAATCATTATTTGTTCATAAACAGAATTAGACCTAACACTACTAAGGCATTGAGCCATTTTATTGCCAGAGAAGCTACCATCAAAGTAGTAAAGTCCATCTATCATCTTAGCAAATCTAATCTTTTTCCCCGAGTTCCAGTCCTGAAATTCACAGTAAAAATAACAGAAAATTACACGCCAATTAGATTCTTTGGTTAGTTTGCTAACGGACAAAAGATTACAGGCTAGTTTAGGGACATGGAGGACAGGTTTAAGATCTATATTTTTGGATAATTTTATCAAACCTTTTTCCTGCAATGGGTGAGCTACCATCTTCAATTCTAATTTTTTCAAGGCCAGAACATGGTGAGTAAGTGTGAAAAAGATTGGAAAAGCTGGTCATATGATCAAAGGCTCCAGAATTGATGATCCATGGAGCAGAAGTTGAATAACAAGAAATGGCATTAAGTGCACTACCAATTTGTGCAAGAGAAACACTTCCTTATGGTCTGCTCCTTAATCTATTCAGTAGCTTCAGAAGGTGATCCATCTGCTCCTTGCTAAAGGGACTTGTCTCAGCTTCATTAACAGTGGATATAGCTCGGCTATTTTTGTCACCCAGCTTGCTGCCCTTCCAATTTGCTGGTTTTTCATGGATTTTCCCAACAGGACTCTCGAGTGTGGTGTGGTTTGTTGCAGTAATCGCACCAAACCCTTGGCTTCTCTTCAGGTTTTCTCTAAAAATTGGCTGTTTTATTAGTAGTAGCCTCGGCAGTAACAAGGGCAGAACTCTCAACTGGCCCGCTAGTAGTCTTTTTCCCCAACATTACATGTCTGCGACTCTCTTTTCTTCGAACCTCAGCAAACACCTCAGCAATTGGAGGAAGTGGAGTCCTGCCAATGATCTGTCCCTGTACTTCATCAAATTCCTCATTTAGTCCAGCAAGGAATTTATAAATACGATGAGTCTCCATGGTCTTTTTGTTATGATTAGCATCTTCAGTTGATTTCCATTCATAATCATTGAACAGATCCAAGTCTTGCCAAAGGCACTTCAATGAATTGAAATACTTGGTGACCGAGTCTTCCCCCTGCCAAATCTCACCAAGTTTCAGAGTCAATTCATAAACCTGAGATTGATTTCCCAAATCAGAGTACATCTCATTCACATTGTCCGAGAATTCTTTGGCTGTGGAGTAGCACATATAGTTGGAGCTAATATCTTCATCCATAGAGTTCACGAGCCAATTCATTAGCATTGAATTTTCTGTATCCTAGGTCACATAAGTTGCATCCTCTGGTGCTGGTGCTGGTGCTGGTGCCTTCTTGTCTTTAGTTAGGTACCCAATCTTTCCCCCGCCCTCTGATGTACATTCGAACGGATTGAGACCATCTTAAATAATTATCACCTTTAAGGCGAATAGTGGTGATGTATTGGGGGCTTGGGTTTTGAGAGATGGGGTCGACTCAGATGAAATGTTAGACATGGCTGAACAGTAAAAAAAAATCTGCAGAAAAGAAATTGATTTTTTAGGGTGTCTCTGATACCATGTAAACTTTAAAGAGATGAGAAAATATATAATTAATTTTTCTATATTAGCTCTACTTAATCATAGAATTACAGAGGTTCTCTTTATAGGAGAAAATACAAGCAAGAAATCAGGAAAAAGATTACAATAGCTAGTTGGCCTAACTAATTTCCTACTTTTTTATAGGATTGACTAATATTCTATTAACAGCAAATATTTACAGCTATCAAATCTCCTAATATTCGGTAATATCACTACCTAATCTTTCATTTCGACACTAACTTTATGCGTTTATTTCTAGAACTAAAACTAATGGATAGTTATATCATCTGTGCTCTGAAAATAGTTTATATTATTTGCTTTTTCTGAACTTCTAATCTCCAGTTTGTTGTTCTTCACAAATTACAGTTTTCTGCTAATTTAATTTGATTTGATGATAAATACACATTTCATAGAAAAGCCACCGATTCAATAATTACCATTCCTGCCATTGCAATGCGTCTCAGGTCTGCAATTATCCTTTCACTACTAAAGGGATTCTGATGGGTCATATAACTTTGAGCTACCAAAATTTTCAGGTTCGTATTTTTGTTTTAGACAGAATTTTTATATGTCAATGTCTCTTTTGTGTCACAATGTTTACTCTATGATTTGGTTTTAGGTGACAGATACACCTGGTCTCTAATGGAGACATGATGGTAAGAGGCTACTCATTTTATTTCTTACCTTCCATATGACTTGACTTAATGGATGCAGGCTTTGCTTTTGTGCATATTGCTGAAGCTGTTGCCATGCCCACAACGCAACGTGCCAGATCAATCAAGGATTGGTTTTGGGTGTATTATATAAAAAATTCTGTGATCATACGAAGTAAAACTTATTGTGCTTGTCAAAGTCACAATGTAGAATTATTTTATTTCCTACAGAGCCCCTCCTGTAAGTTGGCCAATCTAGCATCTGACAGTTAAGTTTATTGACTAGTTTTGATGTCTGATCTTCACCTTCATAATCACTCCCCAGATACAGCGTGATAATGGATTATCCGGGGAAATCTAGTAGGCTACTTTGAAAGATAGTAGACTATTTAACTTATTTTGGCATGGGCAAACTTCTTTCATTTTCTTTCATATTTGAAATGATGACTTTAAAATGAAAGAGACTTGTATGCCTAAAGGTCGAGGTTACACAAATTGAGGACAAAGTTAAAGGAAGGACGGTATAGGTGGTTGGGAGTGTCTTGCATACACCTGACGAAGCTTTCGATTTATAGGAGGAATTTGATCCCAAGAGAACAGGCGGAGAGAGTAGACCAATAGACAAAATCAACATGTCCTGAGACAGGCGAGGAGAGTAGACCCAAAGAATTCATGTAGTTGAACCCAAATTTATAGGAAATTAGGCTTAGTCTGTTGTTCCTATAAGATTACAGTTTTCTGGTTTGGTATGTTATATGTTAGTCTTGTTTTTTACCCTGGTAGAGTATTAAGAGAAATCTTTAAGGAGCAAACTGATGACTGAAAGAAGAGAAACAAGAGAAAAACTGTAGAAATTGTTTTCGTTGTGAAGTTGGTGGATTTGAAGGGAAGGGGACAAAGCAAAATTGGGGCAGTCCTCTGTTAGCAACGCTTTCTTGATAATGATGCAATATAAATTCCTATAAATATATGAAGTTGCTGGAATAGAATCTTTACCTCCTCAAATAGTCGCTTTATGAGCATGTTTGGCAACAAAAGCTGCTATCTTATAAGCTAGGGAACCACAATTGTGTGGATCAAAATATTTCAACATATCTGGCTTATAAGTGGGATCCACGGTTGTGTGAATTTTGGTCCCCACAATCTGTGGGTCCCCAACTTATAAGAGAGGAAATTTTTTTGCCAAACATGCTCTATGTATCTGAATTTCTTGCACTGCCTTTAATATTTCTAGTTTTATAATTTTCAGTTTTCAGATTGTAGGACAATAAATTTTTGAAATTTCTTAAATTTTTGGAGTGGCCTAGTCATAAAAAGCTAATGTGAAAGATAAAATATTATATATAAAGGTAATTCTTGAATTCTTTCCAAACAAAGGCATGTTGAGTTCATTACTGTTTAGACATCTGCGCTTGTTTCTTGTTTGGTTGCATGACCTTTTTCTGGTGTGTTAAGTACAGAGGATAGGAATAACTTAGAAAAGTTGACACTTGCTGTCCTCTCTCATTTGCCAACTGCTGTACTTTATGTCCACGATCTATCTGGAGAATGTGGGACTCCACCTTCTGATCAGGTATTATATGCTTTATGTTCCTTTCTGAATGGAAAACGCCAGTTTTTTTTTTTACATGCAACCATAGAAGCTTGTCTAAGGGTATTTCATAACTTCCATTCTAATGATTCTCACTCTTCTAATATGTTATGTACTTCAATATTTTCTACCATATTTTTCTTAAGCTACTGTTGAGTGTGATTGTGGGTTATGCAGTTTGTCATTTACAAGGAAATACGGGAGAGATTCCCCGACCATCTTTGGCTTGATGTTGTCTCTAAATGTGATCTGCTTCAAGAGTCTCCTGTTGTCTTTATTACGGAAGATGGTAATGTCAATCATCTGGAGCTAGCGAAGTATCGTGAGGTGGGACCTGATGGAGCTTTACGTGTATCAGTTAAGAGTGAAGTTAGTATTGATGAGGTTTGTCTCTTGGCTTCAACTTCTTCTTGAACACACTTTTAGAGAGTTTGAATTAGTGTACCATGAAGAACCAAGTATGCGATTGCACATGCATTCAAGAACAATTTGCTCTTATACTGCATCCATGCATCCAACCCAAACCACTTGGCTCTAGTTGGAGTATCCAATAAATTACCAATACGGGATTGCTTAACTGATGCAAGTGGATTCTTGCAAGGCATCTCTTAGAAGATACTAACTGCGAATTTGAGTCAAGTCTGGTATTTTATCCGTAACGAAAGCCCCAAGGATTTCTGGCCTCTTTAGTCTGAATTATGCATGTATACACCAAGTGTTAGTTCTGGTTTTGTAGATTTTCTACTAATTAGCTTTAAACTATCTTGTTCTTTATTTATTAGTAGCAATTAAAAGCATGATATGAAATACCTTCCTTGAGATAAATAGAAATTCGTTGACAGCATTTTTTTGTTCCTTTCTACCTTTAAGAATTCAGACGAAAGTGTCATTATTTATTTCATTGGCGATCCCAGAGCCCTAGTTCTAAATCCAAGAGCACCTGAAAATGACCATATAAACTAGGATCTAGTAATTAGGATGTGGAATCTAGAAAGGATTTAGCATATACAAGTTCCTTGAGCTTAGTTTCTGCAAGCGAAAATTTAACTTCATTTGGATTTTTTTTTATCAAGAACTTGATGCGCATTGATGTTTTCATCTGATTAAATTGTCCCCTAAAATTTTGCGTTTCAATTCTGACCGACAGTTTGTGCTATCCGGTGCCTTGCAGTTAAAACGTAGAGTGCATGATCTGCTGCTTTCTCAGTCGATGAGGATCAAGAGCCAAAAGAACAATCAAAACAGTCTTTTTAAGTCCCGAGCTAGTCCATTCTTTCCAAGATTTGTTCTTAAAACTCGCGTGGTTGATTTGACTATCTTAGGTTTATCGATTAGCCCATGCCAATACTTCCAAGTGCACCATTCTGATTTTCGGATTCAACCACCAGTACTCTCTAACAACCTTTGCCGAGATAAGTACACTCATTGAACCAACCACTTTTTATGATGGCAAACCAACCATCAAATATCAGGATGACGATTAAATGTTGTTATTGATGGTATGTTTTATTTAGGCGCTCCTTTGATGGAGCTTCTGCTTCGGAAACACTGAATGAATAATCCATCACATGTATTTGAATGAAGTTTTGATTTGGCAGCGGCCTTGACTCTACATATTTGTTCATCAGTTAATCACAATTTATTAGAAGATAATTTTTTCCAGTCGAGAGCATGCATTACAGACAATGGTAAGATACTTGTCAACTTTTCTAATACTTTATTTTTAATAAATGGTTAGCGACATGAATCTCTTTTTTCCCCACTCTGTTCAATTCATTGCTACATTTGTGTTAAAAGGTACAAAGCATCGCGTGCTTAAGAAACAGGTAGGAAGGATTTTACAAGGCACGATGCTTTCTGCAGGTTAAGATGCTCGTTTTGCATATTAAAAACACTTCCATATCTGCACGACCTGCTATGAGAAAATAACTTTTTTCTCCATCGAAAGAAACAGCAGCCTCTGTGTGGCAAAATAATGGACCCCATTTAAACGCTTCATGCTGTTCAGCAGTTTGAAGCTCCATTTCCTCATCCAATCACAAGTAATAGAATTCACAGTTTGATTTTGGTGATTTGCAAATATAGGTTTCCATTTCTTGTTCATCTTATTTACACACAAAATTTTTATAATTTCTTGGCAATATATGTATATGATATCCCAGAAAGAGATCAATTATAAACATATGTTGTTCATCTTGGGGCATCTGATGCACAAGTTCACCTGCTCAAAAGATTTGAAAAGTTGGTACCTTCTATTTTTAAGTATGAAAACTTGTGCATCGGATGTCCTAAATTGAACAATATATGTTTCTAATTGACCTCTTTCTAGGATATCATTTACAAATGTTGCCAAGAAATTATTTGTATGCAAATAAGAATGAACAAAAAATGACAATCGTATTTGCAAATCACCAAAATCAAACTATGGTAACTTGTGAAAGTAGAGAAGTCGACAATATGAAGGTAAGCAAGATATGCAAGGGATGTAGGAATATAGCCACATATTTCGTTGTGTGCCGGAGACCTGACAAATTCAGCAAAAGCCGAAAAGGAGCTCAGTTAGAATGGCTGTGTTTGAAATAAGGAGTTGCCCAAAATTATAGACTAATCAACCGTTTTGTTTCTTTCTGTCTACAGCATATACTTCCAAAATGTTATACTAATTACTCAACAGACTAGGAATATATAGATCCCATCAAATACTAAATGCACGTCATTTTACATGACTAGACTTGAATGAAAACCAATATATTCAGATATCTTCTAAGATTAAACATTTCAATAACTCCAGCAATAAAAAATTTCACAAGAGGATGGCTACACACACCTTAACCAATTTGAGGCAAATGATGCAACTAAATTAGAAATCGATCTCAACAGGTTGCCTGGTTATGTCAAATAAAAATTGCTAAAACAAAGTGAGAAAAAGGCACAAAGGAAGCTAAAATAAGCCATAAAGCCTGGGGATATCTTACTAGGTCAACAGTGAAGAGCAGTTCCCAATTGACTTGGGAATGTTGCCTAGAGATGTCTACAATTGTTCAATACTTGCAGGAATGCTGCCTAAAAATGAGTTTCTTGACATATTCAATAACCGCAACCCGCTAAAGTCCCCAGCAGCAGATGGAATTTCACCAAATAACTTATTCTGGGAGACAACCAAAATCACAAGCTTTCTACGAGAATTCTTGGCCCAGAAGGTTTAGGCAATTGCTCATGGAATCGGGCATGACTCCAGTAAAGCCATTCTTGGATACATTTAGACCCTTCAATGATTGAAGTTTTCCTATAGCTTTCTCCAAACCATTCAGGCGGTGAATCCATGTGAAGGGAAATGGCACAATGATGCCACTGCCCATTGGACTTACTGAGTTGGCCCAGCTGGAAATCATTGGAGGCCCAGCTTCTGTTATGTTTTAGAGCCTGTTTGGTAGAGATTTTTGGGGGAAGAATTGATTTTTGAATAGTGATATGATGGGAAATGTGTGGTTGAAAAAGAAGAAAAAATTATTGATNGAATAGTGATATGATGTGAAATGTGTGGTTGAAAAAAAAGAAAAAATTATTGATGTGATGGAAAATATTATTTTATTGAAGAATGTGTGGTTGAAAATGAGAATTGATTTACTGTAGAAAATCAAAATTCATACCAAACAGGCTCTTAATGGTGTAAAAACGTGAATTGATGAAGGCTGAAATCGTGTTTTTTACTTACCTAGTTTTTTGGACGTCTCTAATGTCACCACGTGTCGCCTCCAACACCGTTGGATTGAGAGCTGTTGAGTGACTCATTTAAAAGGGGGCTTCTAGGGTTTGGGACTTCGCTTGACTTCGAGACTCTTCCAATTTCTTGTGCTTTCTTATTTGATTTCTGTTTTTCCCTCAATAGCTTGTAATCTTGAGTGATTTACTTGTATTGTGAGCTGATTCTTGAGTGAATCGTGTTATCAGTGGAGAGAGTTCATTTTATGAAATCTAGGGCTTGTCTGAGTGTCACCTTTTGTATTTCATACCATGGGTTTGATTCAAGCATTTTGGTGGTTCATTCTTGTGTGATTGAAACACAGATTTGAGAACTTGTGAACTTGTGGTTTTCTTAGTAAAAGCTAAGTATTTTGTTTCAGCTTATTTGGTTTCTGATTTTCGCATTTACATTTGTTGATTTCTTGTGAGCTAATATTGTGAAGTCCTCCCAACACCATGTTTATGCGAAACCAGGTCATGGCAAGCTTCTGCATTGTGCTTCGAAGCCAAGCATAAAGAGAAACTTCACTCAAATCAATAGACATTAACAGTGAACAATCTCCAATTCCATCATGAAGACCACCAGAAAATTGATCATTTGATTCTTCCACGCACTATGCCCCTCAAATTGTTCAAGCCATCAATGCCCTTAGGAATCTCACCCTCCAACAAATTATCAGACAAATCAAGCTACCTAACCCCCAGAAAGGTATAAAAAAAGGGAACAATACATAAATAAGGTATTTAAGTATCACCATTTCAAAATTAAGGTTTGAAGTTTTAAATTTCAAAAATCAGGTTTTCATTAAAATTTATTTATAATTTAATTATGAAATAATAATTATTAAATTAATTTATTATTAATATTTAATTCTACTATAAAATAATTAATCCACCCCCACCTCCACCACCCCCACAACTCCGGAGATATTCCGACGACCTTTCCGGTCACCACTCTTCTCCGATGACCTTTCCAGCGACTTTTCCGCGCGACTGATCCGATTCCGGCGAATATTTTAAGGTCACAGATCTATACAATTTGGTCACAATTCAAAATTTTTTAGGTCACAATTCAAAATTTTCATAGGTCACAATTTGTTCATCGGTCACAACTTAAAAATTTGAAAGTCACAATTTTTCATTGGTCACAAATCACAAAATTTGTAAGTCACAATACTTATTTACGGTCACAAACATCCCATTAATTGAACATATATTATATTTTAGGTCACAATTTATCAAATTATTAGTCACAAATTAATAATTTCTAGGTCACAAAGCATTTATTGGTCACCGTTCATCTACTTCATTGGTCACATATTGTTTACT